TCTCTGTCTCTTTATTGGTCCATTTAGTCAGTTTACATTCAGCATAATTATTGATAGGTATGAGTTTAGTGCTGTCATTTTGATGTCTTTTTTTGTGTGGTGTTCACAGTTTCTTTGTTCCACTTAATTTTCTGTGCTGAGTCATTTTTCTTTATGTATTTTCTTTTCATCTTTTTTCATTGTTGTTGATTTTGTGTTTGGTGAGTTTTTAGATTTTGTAGTTTTTTATTTTTACTGGTAGGATTGTTAGTTTCCTTTGTGGTTACCTCAATATTTACTCCTGTTTTTCTAAGTTTATACCAGTCTTATTTCTTTATTTCGCCTTGACTTCCTCTCCATATGAAAAATCTACATCTACATTTTTTAAGTCCCTCTTTTTTGTTTAAATGTTGTCACCTTTTACATATTGACTTCTGTTTCCCTATTTTAAGTATTTTAGCTTTGATTTACTTTTGTGACTTCCTTATCTGGGTTGATATCTGGTTGCTCTGTCCTGTATTCTAGTCTTGGGTTGTTATCTGATGTTACAGATTTTCTAACTGGAGGACTCCCGTCAGTATTTCTTGTAATTTTGGTTTGGTTTTTGCAAATTCCCTAAACTTCTGTTTATCTGGAAATGCTCTAATTTCGGCATCATATTTGAGAGACAGTTTTGTTGGATATATAATTCTTGGCTGGCAGTTTTTTTCCTTCCAGTCTGTATATATGTCATCCCATTGCCTTCTTGCCTGCATGATTTTTGCTGAGTAGTCCAAGCTTATTCTTATTGACTCTTCTTTGTAGATGACTTTTTGTTTATCCCTAGCTGCTCTTAAAATTCTCTCTTTATCTTTGGTTTTGGCAAGTTTGATTATAATATGTCTGGGTGACTTTCTTTTGGGATCTACTTTATGTGGGGTTCATTGAGCATCTTGGATAGATATCTTGTCATCTTTCACGATATCAGGGAAGTTTTCTGCCTACAAATCTTCAACAATTCTCTCTGTATTTTCTGTTATCCCCCAGTGTTCTGGTACTCCAGTTGCTCGTAGGTTATTCCTGTTAGTAGAGTCCCACATAATTCTTAGGGTTTGTCTCAGTCATCTAGTGCTGCTCCAACAGAAATACCACAAGTGGATGGTTTTAACAAAGTGAAATTTATTCTCTCATAGTCCAGTAGGCTGCAAGTCCAAATTCAGAGCATCAGCTCCAGGGGAACGCTTTCTCCATTAGCTCTGGAGGAAAGTCCATGTCATCAGTCTTCCTTTGGTCTGGGAGCTTCTCTGTGCAGGAACCTCAGGTCCAAAGGACGAGCTCTGCTCCTAGCACTGCTTTCTTGGTGGTATGAGGTTCCTATGTGTCTCTGCTCGCTTCTCTCTTTTACATCTCAAAAGAGATTGCATTAAGACATGATCTTGTCAACCTCATCAGTATAACCTCATCACATTGATAGAATTTACAACACATGAGGAGATCACATATAATCTCATTATAGTGGTAGAGTTTACAACACATAATGAAATCACATCAGATAACACAATCATACAATATTGGGAATCATGACCTAGCCAAGGTGCTACACACATTTTTGGGGGGACACAATTCAATCCATGACAGGGTTTCTTCATTTTTTTAAATCCTTTTATCTGATTTTTCCTCAAATAAGTTGGTGTCAAGTGCTTTATCTTCAGTCCCACTAATTCTGAC